CTGTACACGTCGGCTACTTGGATCACACTGATATTCCATGAGATGTTTATAGGTATTATGTATATATATAGAAGCACAACAAATACACACCAAATGGTTCCATGTGCAAATAAATCTGTGAAATGCTGTATGCTAAATCTCTCTCTGTGTCTACAGGCATAGGTACCCCCCTACACTTTCCAGATCTTATCTAAGTCCTCCTCACAGAACATCACATTAGCATATTAAAAACTCTGAGCTCTCCTTGCAGTACAGAAACCCATTCAATGGTGCTTCCTAAACATATCTTACTGTATGTCCTTTCCCAAGCTCTCTAACCTCCAGAGCTCGGGGAAGGCTTCACAGACAAGCTGTCAACTGTCAAGCTTCCACTGTGAATTGAGGAGTAAAGAAGTTGGAGGGGGAAGATTTGAGTAGCTTCAACTGAGGAGGGGTTCTCCCTTGGGTTTAAATATAGAAAGAAAAGATCTGGCAAAATTTTAATTTCTTTTCACCAGGGAAGATACCCACCTTATCCCTCCCAGTGATGTCTAAAGTGAGTGATGGGTAAGACGGTTTCTTGGAAGTAAGTGAGCTCACCTGTTCTGGACCATGCTCATGGCCATCCAGTCCACTGGGTACACATTCTTCCCAATGAGGTCCTTGAACATAATGAAGGTCTCCATCAAGAAGTCCTGAAACAGCACAGCAAAACACATCTGTCACCCTGCATATGGGCCCTTACTGAAATTCTCCAGACCTTGGAGGGACAGAAAGGGAAAGCATATCGCCTTTCATTAAGTCAATTCAATGAAACACCTAGCACCGGATTTTTAATGGGAGCTTAAAAGTTGGCTACCGGGAACTTGTTTCACAAATACTAGTGGAACATAAATATAGAATGAGAAAAAAACTCTCAGAAGAAGGCACTATTAATTCTTTGAGAATAAAGAAGTAGATGTAGTTGGTGATGTGGCAACCTTATAATCATCCTCCCAAATATGTATTTGAGAAAGAAATAATCTGCACCATATGAAAGCATCTCAGGTCATTGAGCAAGCAAACTATTATTTAAAATAACATCTAATTAGCAGTGTTGTAAGCACAGATAATTCATACATCACACAACAAACATGAGCAGATTAGAGCAAGACAGTGAAAAGGGTGATTTTTCCTTCCCATCTTTGGAGAACACAAATTTAAGACAAACCCAGACAGCCAAGACGGGCACTGCGATTGTCTTCAGCTAGAGGCCATGAAGCCAGTCCACCTGAATGCTTCAGGAAAAACTTAAAACCCAGAGCAAACGTATCGGAGTTTTTTTCCACAAGCTTGTGATTGTCAAATTATTTTAACAGAATTCTTTGTTCAATGAAAATCTCACTTGGAACCCAATGTATAAAATGGACAAAAGTACAACAGCTCTGGTTGAAGTATGCGTGTGTGTGTGTGTGTGTGTGTGTGTATCTGTGCGTGTGTTTGTTATAATGAGTAGTGAGGTTAGGGGGAACATAATCTGAAAATTGCTGCTTTAAGCTAAATTGCAAACTTCTGGAAATAGCGTGGTTCCTTTCCAGAAATCTTTGCTTCTAGGGAAAATTACCTCAATGCTCTAAGTCCCAGTTTCTGAATCAGCAGAATGGGGCTAATATGTGCCTCTAAGGGTAGAGACAGAGAGTAGCCTCTGACTGTGAGGTTTAACTACATACTGTCCATGACACTTAGTGCAGAGCCTGGCCCCCATAAAATGCTTGTTGAGGCTTGATGATAGTGACAGATATTATTATTCATCCCTGATGTCACCTGGGGAAGTGTGGCTATCATCAGAGGCACACCCCCTTCCTATGGGAATGGAGAAGGATTCTGGCTCCTGGATGGACCATGTGCCTTCTGAATGAGATGATGCAGTATGGGCTAAGAATTGGAGATGAAGTTCAAATTCTGCCTCTGCCATATACTAGCTCTGGTGCCTTGTGCATGCAGATCATAGACCTGTAAAATGTGACTTCAAACACTGATGCCATACTATTGTGAGGATGATATATGAGCATGTACCTGTGTAGTAAATAAGAATTCTCTTCCCTACCTTACTTTCCATAAAACCTTCCTTTCACAGAGGATCAAAATTTAAGAATCTGGATTTTTATTTCTATTATTTCTATCTGGATTTTTATTTCTGAATATAGGAACTTTGTGAGGAGGAAGGGAGCTGGGGTTATTTGACTTTGATTTTTTGCATATTTAGAAAAAGGCTCCATTTCTTGCCAATCCTACTCAAATGGGTGGCTGAATGGATAAAGGAATAGGGCCCTGGTGTCCAGATGTTGTCCTTTTTGTGGGCCATTCTCTGAGGCTGGTCTTGTTCAGGTGCCCCTGGTTACTCTGATGAGAGTTGAGAGGACTCCTGAATCTGGCAGAAGTAAAGAGACAAGACAGAGCTGACCAGGCTGAGAGCACTGCTGAGACCAGGCTGGGCTCCATGCTGATGAGATCATCTGCTGCACAGCTGTGAGTGCAGAGCACAGGCAGATAGCCCTGTAGTACATGAATCCCGAGAGACTAGAGGAAGAAGGGGCTCTGGGACCAACTTCCTCTGTGTATTTATTATCATACTATAACAGCACATATCTTTTAATGAGCGTTTACTACATGAGCTATTGTACTCTCATGTGACTGCATCATAACTCCATGACATCAATGATATCCCCACTTTACACATGGGGATATGTAACGGAAGTTAGCTTGCCTATGCTCATACAGCTAACCAGTGACAAATCCAGGATTCAAATCCAAGACTGTGTGACTCCACGACTCATGCTCTTAAGCCCCAAAGTGTGTGTGATTCATGTTAAGGTATTATAGATGACATAGCAGCCATTCAAATCCTATCTCTGACATGGACAGAAAACATGTTCCAGGCAAAAACTGTATAAGAAGTAGGGAACCAGACATGCAGGTTTGAAAACTTAAACCCAGGAACATACTCAAGATTTGTGGGGAGACATTGTTGACCTGAACTCACAAGAACCAGGAGCATGACATGGCTCCTCGTTCCATCCCCACACGCATCCTGCAGACTCACCACAAGCTCCGAGCTGGTCTGAAAGGTCTCAATGTAGAAGGAATAGTGCTGGTCACCCATCTGGTTTAAGATGGCTGTCATACATGCCACAAAGTGACTCTGCAAGACAAGAAGAACAGCACATGAACTGATGGAAAGACAGCCATGGGATTCATCTCCATGCCCTTTGCTTCAAATTGGAAAACACTCAACCAGCCTAGGCAAGTACACTCAGCTCACCAGATCAGCGTGTGGAATTTCCCTATGAGGAAATGTTTCCTTACAGCTCATTCACTGAGACAGCATCAATTCAACAACTGTTGTGTACCTGGGACTGTAATAGGAGCTCCAGATGTAGAAGTAAGGCCTGACCCATTACCTTTCCTGCTACTTGTGCATGGAGAGAAGAGCACAGTGCGGGTGTTGGGAGATTCATCCTATGTCAAGGTCCTGGAGACAATGTCATTTTCTGACAAATCATTCTGTATGTGTAAGTTCCAATTGTCTCATCTGTAAAATGGGCAAATAATCCATTTGTATGGACTCCAGGGGAGTATTAAAAGGGCAAGATGACTTCTAAAGCACCTGGAAATGCATGGAAGTTTTCTGCTGTGAGATCAGTGGTCGGATCACCATGAAATCAGGTTAGGAGAGATCCTAGCACCTATTAGGGTTAGCACTTGTAAAGAGCTGTGGTGGATCAAAGAGATGGGAGGAGATGGCCTTTGCTCTATGGTCTAGTTGGGAATGCACAATTGACATCTGTGAGACAAAGAGCCCGGGGCTCATGATGTGTGAGGCAGATCCAAGACCAGATGGATTCAGGCAAGAGAGAACTCGAGGTGGGGACTCACAGAGGAAGGGGATGTGCAATCTAGATGAGAATCTACTCTTACCATCTTCTACAAAAACCCATGTGGCTGCCATCTTGGCCGGAGGGAGCCCTGCTAGAGCTCAGCCCAGGGGGAGGCTTGCAGCAGGTGACTTGCCTGGTGAGATCTAGGTATCTCCAGGGACCACCAGATAGACGGGCTGAAAAGTATTATATTCGGTCCAAAAAATGAGTTTGGCATCATACACTATTGCATTTGTTTAAACACTTTTGTCAAATTCTTTTTAGCAAAAAAAAAAAAAAAGCGTTTGTTAAAAAATTTTTAACAAAAAAATTTTTTCTTAAAAAAAGTATATATATTATACTTCATATTTTCCATGTTATAGTCTTATTTTTTTATATGTGCATATGTGTGTATATGCATAACAGGCTTACAGTTTAATTTCAGTGACAGAGAAATAATCTTACTGACCCCAGCAAGCCCCAGCACAGGGAATTGTGGGTAGCTGAATGTTTCTCAAGCTCTCATTCCCCAGAGCAGCTCCTAGAAAGGTGAGTTCCCCTTTGCATCCATGTTCTTTCGAATTACAAAGTTAAGAACAGTGTGCTTTCCCTGTCAGCAGGACCACCTACACCATTTGTAAGGCCAAGAACAAAATGAAAATGCAGGGCCTTTATGAAAATGATTGAGAACAGCCACATGGCCCTCCTAAGCAAAGGACACTTGTCTAACCACGCAGGCCACACACCCAGGAGGCTGGCCCTGCCTGCTGGTCACCACCAGGCTCGCACACTGGAAATGTTTAGGAAACATGCGCATCCAGCAGGGCGCACAAGGCAGGGGCTCTCAGGAGCAATGGCAGTGACGTTTTGTTGACGAGAATCTGCAGCCTTTACACTGGCCTGGTCTCCCTGACGATCCGGACAGTAAAATTCTCTCTCCGTCTCAGGCCCCCAGAGGTTGGAGGTGAGTTTGTGAAATATCCACCCCTTTCTAACCAGATGGAACACCCCCATTAGGGTTAACTTAACTAGGTACCACTCAGACCAAGGAATGAGGTTGATTATTGTTTCTAATTCCGAGCAGGCTGAAGGCATGAACGGAGCAATCTTAGCAACTGAGGGATGTCAGGGCGTGCGTGTGCATGCACGCAGGCATGTGTGTGTGCGCACACGCACATGAGCGTGTTTCCTCTACTCCCTCTATCTCTCCTAGCGCTTCCTTAAAGAATTCAGCCTGTGGCCACTAGAGGTCTTTTCTTTTCACATGGTGCTGCCGTGCAGTTTGTTCGGCTTTTTATTTATTCCTACGTGAGCAGACCCACTACACTTCTTGCATATAAACAGTGAAAATTACAACAGAAAGGACTTATTTTTCCTTCTTTTGGAGTAATTCTGCTGCTGGTCAAAGCCTGACTCCTTGTGCAAGGCACGGGGGTACCGTCGGCAGGTAATTCCACTGCTTCAAGGTAAGAGATGTGGGTAGGTTTTATTTTTTTTGTGATCTATGATCCTCTGTGAGAAAATGCTAGCGTCTCTTGAACCACAGTTTACTTTTAAAGCTTTGGCTTAAATGAGTCCTGGGATTGTGAGCTTGTGTGTGTGTGTGTGTGTGTGTCGGTGTGTGCTGGTGTGTGGTGGACAATCCACCATTGTCAGAAATGCAGGCTGCCCCAAATGCATAGATATGCAATGCTTGTTATTTCCAATGGCTTGATTTGAATTTGAAGGTGAAAAAAAAAAAGCAAAAAGAAAGCGTGGACGCTTGTGTTGCCTGGAATTACCTCGAGAAGGCTGCATTGTTTTAAGCTTTGCTTAGTGAAACTTCCATGCTTCATTTTACAAGAAAAAAAGGGGGGGAGGGGGCCTTCCTGTCCCTGTCTACAGAGAGTGACCACTGTAGGATAGAAACCATTAGCTTTTTATTAGGAGTTGGTCAGCGTGCTGTAGTTGACTGATCAATCAAAATCACTTTTACCGGCTTGCTAATTTCTTCATTCTAACTATCACATAGAACAGCCCAGCTGGGTGCCTTTCTGTACGATTTGTAGTGCAATGTGACTGAAGTTTGGACAAGTTACCTGCATTTGGCTGCTAATGACAAAATGACAGTGTTTTGCTTCCAATACGGAGCATATTTTTTTCCTACAATGGTGTCTACCTCAAGTTGGTATCAGATCTGTGGGAAATCACACCGATGTGGCTGACTGAAACCTGAAATGCAGTGAGATGCCGGCAGTTTTGTATTCAGAAAAGGCTCTTCTCTGTCATTTGGATTGAAAGGAAGAAAGAGCACACCTCTGTCACACACTGATAGAATGATGGAGAGCATGAGGCTTCTCTGATGTGCATCCCTGTCCCAGTAGCACCCTCAGTGGCTCGCTCCCAGCCCTTTCTCCAAGTTTGAGCCATACTTCCACATCCATCAAGCCTTATAATTTCAAGAGACATAGGAATTGGGGGGTGATCAGGCTGCTTTTGCACTAGCAACTCAAGCAGCCCTAACATTGACACTGTTCAAACTTTATAGTGTAGGAGCTTGAACTCCCAACCCTGCCAACCTCTAGAAAAAAGCCTGAATACCGCATGGGGAATGGAAGGGTGGAGGGATTCCCTGTAGTCCAGGCTAGCGAGAACCCCCTCATTCCATCCCTGGCAGAAATGCTGTGATCAACATATATTTACTATCAAGTTGTGAGGCAGCCACGCATCCAGACCCAAGCAGCACGCCAGGTGCCTGGATAGGAAATTGCTCCTTAAAACAGAATACCAGGGGGACCTGCATATTCAGTCCCAGAGAGAAATCGTATCTGAGACTCTGGCGCAAACCAGCCAGAATCACCTCGCTCCAATCGGGGTGGTTTAAAATGTGCCTAATGAATCACAGCATGAAGAGACATGGTTTAAAACTAGGTCAAACGTGTAAAAATAAGTACAATCATCGCAGGCACTTGGCGGATGAGGGGCTACTTAATGCCTTGAGTGGCAGGGCTTATTTTCCATATAGAATGCTTTTCAGCCATCCAAGACAATCAATCCTTTTAATTAATTCAGCCTGTCAGGATGTAGAGAGGTCTTGCCCACCTGGGAGAGAGCTGACGCTCCAAAGGAAAACAGTCAGGGTCTCTTTACCGTGTGATGGCGAAAGAGAGAAAAAGAGAAGCCCAATATTGTTGGGATCAAAATTAATCAGCTGGGATAGCAGGTGATTGCCATCAGGAGAGCGGCCCTCCCAAAATCATTCTACTCCCTTTGTATTTTTAAAAATGTCATCATCATATTGATAATGCCAATAGTTTTGATGCACAATATTTAACTTAAACATATCCATTTAACAACCTCTGATGGAAGCACAAATACACACACACACACACACACACACACACAGCCAGAACTCCCACAGTGCCAAGTGCTTGAGGAAAAGACCATCAGTTTGTTCTGCCTTGGAAACAAACAAAATTGGGGAGAGGGGCATAGCTGCTGCTGACACATCCCCCACTCACCTGAGATTGGTGGGAGTGATGAGATCGCAGAGGGAGGGAAAGATCCAACTTCGGGAGCTTGCTACCTAAATGCCAACATTACTATGCGATACCAGCTGGTGACACGTTGCTATAGTAACTTCAAATAATGTGCGCGACCAAAATAAAATAAAATATAGAAAGCACCAAGGAGAGGAGATGAGGGAAAGCTTGCATGCTGAGGGAGGCTCATAGTGAGATGAAAAGTTCTTTCTATGAGCCCTCCTTTGGAGACTAAGAGTGGCCAAATGCCACTCTCAGGATGCTTCTCTATTCAGCCCCATGTCTGCCATGTGATTATATAACAGATTTTATTCTTGGATGAAATTGCTGTTGTCTGTGTGGATCCAGGACTAGAGGTGGGAGGCACTGGTGTCAAAAAAAAAAAAAAAAAAAAATAAGGACTCTAAAACCCATTCATCTTAGAGCTATATCAGGCCGCTCAGAGTTGTAATTTGGAGTGATGTCTGGGAAAATTAAGGTGTGCATTCTGTCCTAGCAACCACCAAGCTGCTGGCACTGTATTAGGTGTTGAGGGTGCAGCAGGGAGCCGAATAGACAAGGTTATGCTCCAAAGAGCTGACATCTGGGTCTGCAGGATGTAGAATGTTAAAAGCGGAACGTCCAGGAGCCAGACAGCCTGATTCAAATCTCAGCTCAACCTCTTAGTGCTGTTTTGACCTTGAGCAGGGTCCTGTGCCTTAGTTGACTCATTTGCACATGGGGATAAAAATATTCCTTACTTTGTGTGGTTTTGGTGAGAATTAAATTAGTTTGTGCAAACAGCTTAGAACATAGAAAGCCCTCCATAAATATCAGCTATTGTTATTTTTATTATTGTCTTGTTGCTGACTCAGGTCCAGAGAAAATAGGCAGATTAGCCAATTAAAATCCCCTACCTGGAGGGAGGAAATGATTACTCCACCTACCTATGACTGTCTACGGTCGCATCAACTGCTCCCAATCACAGCTGGCGACATGTAGTTATCTGCCTTTCTACTCTGAACAAGACTCTCCTTGGCTACCTGCCTAAAGTTCAGCTGTTTAGTCAATCTAGTATGTGCTCTTTGGAGCAGAGCATGTCGGGAGATTTCTTTAATTTGGAGACAGTTGCTGGCAGATAAGAAAAGTGACATCAGTGCCCAAATTGTTCCAAAGCATTTTATACAACTGTGTTCATCAAAAACTTAGTCCACCAGCTGTTTGGCTTTTGGAGGTCCTTCCCTTTGTGTGCAGTGTCATTCTGTGGTGACCCCGGGTGTTCTGCTTAGTGATGGAGTCACACAGGCCCTCTTCTTCTAGGGAAGCTTGCGGTGGATGGGAACAGATCCAGAGGGTTCCTGTGATCTGCTCCATGTCACAGGCGCAATGTCCCAGGGAGACAGAAAGGTGCCGCTTGGGTGTTGTGTGTGTTGGATGTGCCCTCCCATGCTCCATCTATACAACGTGGTGGGGCCAGGGCAGTTATCCGTGGGCACCTCTGCCTGACAATGCGGGTAGCAATGCTGAATCAGTTCCCAGGCAGGAACCAGAGCCAGAACCTGGTGTCTCCTCCAAGAGCTGTCCTCACCCACAGGAGCAGGAAGGAGGCCTAGCAAGGCTGCTTTCATCAGGGCTGGCAGAGCAGCCTCAAATTGTCCCAGTCTTCCTTTGAAACCACTGCCTTCTGATCCTGGTCGGAGCCTGGGCTTGTGGCTCTCTAGTGTGAGATCACTTCAAATAACCCGAAGCATACACGGGGACGTTTAACCCCACGGGGAGATGGAAGGAAACCAAGTCCCATTCATGTCTGCCTTGTGCCCAGGAACCCATCTCCATCATCTCACTGAATTCTCTCAACAATCCTGTAAGGTCAGCTGTTTGCCCATTTTACTGTTGAGGAAACTGAGATGCCCAGACGTCGAGACCCTTGCCTAGAGAGGTGTCTAGTATGTGATGGTCCTGGAATTAAAATCTGGGCATTTCTAACTCTAAACTGTGTATTCTTTTCATAAACTCATGCCATCTCCCATGTCAGCACTGCTGGCTCCACCAGGGTATAATTTTTTTGTCCATTTATTCATTACTGCATTGCTAGAACCTAGAACTGAACTTGCATACCACATGAAACCAATAAGCATTTCCAGATGAAAGATGGAATTTATTATAGCATCCCCATCTCTGAAAGAATATCACAGGGGCCCTTCCACATGCCATCTCCAAAAAGTTAGGTTCATGAATTGACCAGCTTTGCCTTAGGAAAGGCCAGAAATGAAAGAATTTTTGTGCTACCTTTTGTTCTCCCTATTCCATCAAGCCAGAGTGAGACAGTGCTTTCATACATTCCCTGATAAAACAAGTATTACTGTGAACTAAGAGGTGCCAGGCAGGGTTCTAGGTGCTGGAGGCACTGCTGTGGGCCAAGTTAAGAATGTATGGCCTTGCCTTAAGGAGCTCACCTCCTAGGTGAGGGAGACCAGGAACAGGGGAACCCACTTTAAGTTAATAAATACATAAGATGATTTTAGACAGAGATTCTCGTCAATACTGAAATATTATAAAGCAATAGGAAAGAGATGGAAAGGGGAGTGACTTATTTCCCAGAGGATATGCAGTGGAGGCCCCTTTGAGAATGCACTTGAGTGGAAACCTGAATGATGAGTGGATCCTTCACAAATCTGGAACAGCGTCTCAGGGCAAGCAGGGAAGATGTAAGCAGGGAAGAGCTCAGAGTGTCGGAGGAACTGAAAGAAGGTCAGCATGGCCAGAAGCCAGGAATGAGAGGGGTTAGGTGTAAGATGCGGTCAGAGAGACAGGCATGAAATTCTACAGGCCCATGGAGGTCAACGAGCATTTGGATTTTTTTCTAAGTGCAAAGGGAAGCCATTGTTGTGGGTTTTAAGAAACACATTCTGGCTGCGGTGTGCTGTAGGGTACCCTCTGGAAAGAAGTGGTTTCCATGTCTTATC